AATGTGTATATTTTTCGTTTCTCATACAGATATATATGAACGTATATTATCCTCAATATCATCATTAGTAATTCAGAAAAAAAAAAAGAAAAAAAAAACAAGGTCTCTAGTAATCGCCGCGTTTCTGCTCTTTCCTCTCACCGTCGTGCTAACTAAAACCGTCGATAGCAGTTAATTCGGACACAATACGATGCGGCCCCAGCGCCGCAATCTTGAGCGTATGCAGGTATTAATGTAAATATATATGAATTAATTATTTTGTTTTTTTTTTGCAATTTGAATTAGACTGTATGGTTTTTGTATTTTCATAGCTCTCTAGATCTTCGTCTACGCTGAATTTGTATTTAAGGGTGGCCCATACGGTATTCAATGCACCAACTATTCTTCATTGTAGATCGTGTCTCTTTACATGTTTGGAAGATGATTTAAGGTCCCGTTACATCAATTTAGACGCTTGTTTAATAGGCGCAGTGAAGGACGCTTGGCTATGCGGACGAATCAAGCATAACTATTCCGTCGCATCAGGCATTCTTCTAGGAAAAGTTCGCTATTTGTTTTTACTAGTCTAAAGATCATTTTCAGCAGCTGCTAGAGCGCGGTCGTAGGGTCATTTGCATTCACTTGATAACTTAACCGCGAACTTTTGTCATAGAAATCTCGTTCTGTTTTCAATCTGCCTTGCTGTCTCTTGTTGGTATTTTTCGATCCGCCAACATTGCGTCTTCGCCACGTAACTTAACCACATAGTTCATACAATTCTTATTGCAGCATCCTGATGACACTATTGGGATGTTTATGGTAATAGCAGGAAGACAGAGTACACCCACTCTGCGCCGGACGTCACAACTTGGAAAAGTTATAGCACCATTTTGAAATTTCACTCTATTTTCCATCTGCATTTTTTTTTCGCGTTATTCTCACAACGAACGATAGCATTTACCTCTACCAATTATACTTATCGGCATCGTAATTGTTAGAACTATTATTTTGCCATTTCAAGACCCAGTTGCTTCTCATAATTGTACTTAGGCAATACCAACAATGAACCATAAAACGAATTCATAACTAGCCTTCACATGGCTCTTTTTGAGTTTTCCGTGTACGCTTCGAATGGTGATATTACGCTAAACATTAGGAAGTAGGATAATCCTCTGATGAGACGTTCTATGTTCTTGCTCGTCGAAATTTTTTTTCTTCAGTTCATACCCCGTAACTATATAACTATAAGTAATTGTCTTTCTTCAAGCTGCTCGAACATCTTCTCAGTCGAACTTGTTCTTTAGTGTATGGAGTATATTTATGTTACATGCAAAAACCGTCGATTGTGATACATCTCACGATGGGAATATCGTGTCATGTCTGCGAGGAGTCGTGTGATGAGCATGCATTGAGACTGTGTACAAACGTTTTGGCGCTTTTAGTAAATATAAAAGATTACTAATGTCACTAATCTCAAGCCCGTGTCATTTGTCCAGGGGGTGTTGTGAGCGTAGAAATCGTCGTTTCTCATCCAGAATTCAGTTGCTAATATTGATGTCGAGTAAAAGAAGGAAGGACGGAGATCCTTCGAATACGTCTTGAATCAAACTTCAATGGGTTTACCACCACTCTCCTCCACTTCAACAGCTTATACTTGCTGCTTGTATCCGTCACGCGTTTTCTCCGTCCGTCCGTCCGTCCGTCCGTTCCTATAAGCCTCGGCCTCAGCAAACTGGGCCTTGTTACTTTGTTTGTCCGCCGATGCGATTCGTGCCTGGTAAGCACCAGTCGTTCAGCTAGCTAGAACTCACGACGGATCCCACAGTGTGATCCATCTCGCAGCACTTTCACACCAAAAAACAAACATATTCTAAGCCTTTTCCCTGCCGCTCGATCACAATGCTTCAGACGTCTCAACATTGATCCGTCGTAACAACCGGTACGGCATATCCGGCGTTTACCTCTCGCTTGTATCGGAGTCACTTTGTTATTTCTAAACACGGTCGAACAGGATAACGTTACTGAATTGCGACACCTAAATCGATACCAATAGCACGACAACAGTGCACGCGTATAGGCCGCACAGAGAACGCGGCATTTTCTATGCGGTTGTAAATGCGCAATCGTATGGACAATTTCTACGTTCTCCAACGTTACGACACGCGCCGAAAAAATGGTGATTTTTTCAAATTTCCCCGAGACAAATGATCGAAACACATACTGACTACCTGTTGCCCGTTTAGTACGTGTGTGGGTGCGTGCTAATTCGTTAGTTAGCTATCGATAGAATGCCAATGTGTTGTTGTCCAGTGGGCGAGCGATACTGTTGAGCATGTCAGTCAGTAGCACGTTTGGCTTTGTTCTGTGGTGTTCCCGACCTGCCCATGTTAATATATATATATATATATATATATATGTATATATGTATATAGTTTCGATTTATATGTATACGGTAATAAGTAATGGCGTTATTGTTTCGTAGTGTTATTAATGGTAAGACACCTGAATGAAGCTTACAACAAGAGGGAGTATATCCATCTTTAAAGTGAGATATAGATATTAATCTCCATGGCAAGGGCTCTTGTATACCGTGTCTAGAAAAATATCAACATCGTTTATATCCATCTCTACCTAAGGTCTAAGGTCTACTGTAATAATAATCATAATAGTGGCAATAGCAGTGTTGCGTTATCAGCGGCCGTGCGCTTCGACAGCGTATCCAAATATCGATTTTTTTTACCTCGTCATGTCGTCATCGTCCTAGCTTCCTGCAACATGTCCTTCTCTTTCGGCACCTTCTTTCGTCGCAGAAGTTTCACAATTTGCTCCTTTTGTCTCTCCGTTCGGGCTCCATTCATCCTAGCATGTCTGCTACTTTTACTGACTGAGACACTTTTATATATATATACATATATATATATATATATATATATATATATATATATATATATATATATGTTTTCTTATGGTTACTGTACAAGAGCAACTTTTTACCTTAGCGCATGACAACTTCTAATAATAGTTTTGGACAATGAAATAGACCTCTGATTTCTATGGGCAATAGCTACAAACGAAGAGGAATAGGGAAGGAGAAGACTGTGCCAAGAAAAACACGGACCAAAAGCAATTACAATGAAGGTATCATAAAATGGAGAGACTCATCCACAAAACGTCAGAGCTGAGCACTGATGGAATCTACGATATAATACTCGCGTACGTAATAACGTGCAGGATTCGTCACAAAAGGCAACTAGCTAATGACGGGTTGATTGGTCGAGGAGTACCAATTAAAGCAAGAATAAACAGGCTGCTAAACAGGCACTCAATCAATGAACTATACCCACTGGAAAAATGTTCGAAAGGCTATATTCTGTATATTATACAAGTCTGAGTGTATATTTACTATATTATACAAGTTCAAGAGAAGTTGCGGTTACGGTGCTGTGATCACTGCAGTTACGATTAAACCCAATACACAATGAGTAGGACAGGAAGTGATTGATAAACGGCTGACAGTGCCCATTTTTGTGGCCGGTTAGAGATAAAGTAACATTTCATCTACTCGGCGTTTTGAACTGCGACCAAGGCCTATGACCAAATTGTTCGCGCTAGGACCAGAGAGGCATGCTTGGGGCAATAGTTTTGGCCGATTACAGGACCAGCAGAGATATCGTTGCTGCGAAAATGCAGTGAGCGCGACGTAGCGTGGGACTTTCCAAAAGGTGGTGCTAATAGTAGAAGTCGGACTGGTCGTGGCCACGATAGCAAAGGCCTTACTCTAGTCTGGTAGGATAATTTTCCAAACAGGTTACACAACAGGCGGCTGGGTGTACGATCGGAAAAAGATGTTATATAAATATATAATGTGTGGAAGTTTTGTGAAATGGAAATACTGTGGCAGATCGTACTATTGTCGAATGGGGTTTTTTTAGGGCGAGGGGGCATGCTTCGGTTTTCGTGCTCCAGATTTTATCGAGGTGGCGGTCAGGGGTACGATTCGCGAACAGGTTGAAACGGGTGGTGAGTGACGGGCATCGATGTCTACTGGAGAAGTGCTGATATTATACGTACATGAAAATCCATTTGATTGTAGCTAATCGTACGGGCTTCATCTGTTGTTCGGCGCGTCTTCAGAATTGCTCTGGGTATCGTAGTGTGCCAAGTTGTCTTCAACATAATTCCGTGTTTCTCTGCGTAGTCTCTTCTAAGTACCGTAAAATTTACCAGGCTACGTTTCGATGTAACTCAATAATTTAAGGTATGGACAACACATACTCAACCACAATCAGGATACTACTTTATGGTCAGCACTGATAAAATCAAATAGTTTGTATAGTCCTTTTCTGTATAGAAGGTCTACTCGGAAATCGCGTTTGCGTCTCGTCGTAGCGCTCAATGTAACATGAAAGCACATTCGGAGCAAACAAAAAATAATATCGCGATGACATAATATCGATAATTCACACCATCGTAATAACTGCTAAACTAAACACGAAACGTAGAAATGGCCGTAATTACAAACATCATATATGGTAGTAACAAAACATACATATATCGTCGCATACGTGCAAGGATACTGGTTCAATTAGCTTATAATAACAAATTGAAGTAAAACATTACATAAATATAGTAATAAGTAATCTAAAAATCTACACACACACACACTTGTTGTATATA